CCCTAGGTGAGTCATAGACTCAAATTTTTCAGAAGAGAAGACTGACTGAGTCATGACCATCACAAGGAGATTGATTCTTTTGAGCTGAGCTGCCACCCCAGGCCACTGTCATTATCATCTACCTCTGGCCTGATCAGAAGAGGCCAAGATGGTAAGTTCCCGGGCAGAGAACATGGCTGCCCCACATATCGAGCTGCCAGCACAGTGGTTAAAGGCTTAAGCTCTAATCAGACAGACCCAACCTCAAAATCTGTCTCTACCAATGTTAAGTTTTGACCTTGGACAAATTACTTAACCTTTTGAATCTGTTTATTCATCTGCTTAATGGAAATAATTATGTATACCCATTAAGCACTGATACAAGGAAAAAACTTAACCAAGTGTGTAACACATGTATCAGGGTGCCTGCTACATATTATACAAAGTCCTTGAAGAACAGAAACAATTATTCAAAGAGCCTCTACCCTCATCAGAACTGGTGGGCTTCCTGTGAGGAAGAGTCTCTTCTCCTGCTGCTTGTTATGGCTACAAAGACAAAGAGATGCAGGGCAGTGCCTGTGGCTCAAAGGAGTAAGCTGCTGGCCCCATATGCCAGAAGTGGTGGGTTCAAACCCAGCCCCAGTCAAAAACAACAACAACAAAGAGATGCAGGGAGGGTTGGTGATTTCGAACCTAATCTCTTTACCTACTGTATTTTTTCATTAGAACAGAAGAATATGGCTTGGCACCTGTAGCTCAGTGTCTAGGGCACCAGCCACATACACTAGAGCTGGTAGGTTCAAATCCAGCCCAGGCCTGCCAAACAACAATGACAACTACAACAAAAAAAATAGCCAGGCGTTGTGGTGGGCTCCTGTAGTCCCAGCTACTTGGGAGGCTGAGGCAAGAGAACTGCTTAAGCCCAAGAGTTGGAGGGTGCTATGAGCTGTGATGCCATGGCACTCTACCGAGACAGACTCTGTCTCAAAAAAAAAAAAAAAAAAAGAAGAATATTCTGAGTTTGCATGTTTGCATAAAAGGTTATAGTTTGAAATACTCAGCTCCATAAACAAAGAAAATTCAAGCTAAACCACCTGAATAGTAGTGACTCTGTTAACTTCCAGACAGTGTGTTGGGTAGACAGAAGACCCCTCAGGAGTCCCCAGATCTACCTTATCCTCTAACACTTTCCACTTACTGGGTGAATTGGGTGAACTTGGGCAATTACTTAACCTCTCCAAGCTTTAATCTCTTCATCACTAGAATAGAGATAATGAATACTTCCTGTATCATAGAGTGGTTGTGAGTTTTAAATACAGATGTCCCAAAAGTCATCCCTAAATTTGCCTATGGATGGTGACTTTAAGGACAACTTGTAGGACACCTCGTACAATGCTGTATGGTTTTTTTGGCTAGGTCCTCAATAAATATTATGTTTGTCTTCCTCTTCTCTTTGAATTCCTTTTGAGTCTAAGTTTCTTTTTTTTTAAATTTCAGATTAGTATGTGGCCACATATAATTGGGTTACATTGTTTGCATTTGCAAAGTTAAAGCCCAAGTTGTACTTGTTTCCATCACCCAGGAAGTATGCCATATACCCAGGCATTATACTTGTTGGGTGGGGACTTTCTGTCATGTGTGCCAGTAGTTGTTACTCCATTATTTTTGATTTAGTATTGAGTACAGGTGACACTTGCTTTTCAATTTTTGTGATACTTTGCTTAGAAGTATGTTCTCCTAATCCAGGTTGTTACAAAAGATATAAAATTTCCAGCTTTTTATGGCTGAGTAGTATTCTATGGTATACATATACCTCGGTTTATTAATCCATTTATATGTTGAAGGGCACTTGGATTGTTTCTGCATCTTTGCAATTGTGAATTGAGCTGCTATAAATATTCAAGTGCAAATGTCTATATGGGAGAATAATATTTTTCTTTTCAGTAGATAGTTAATAATGGGATTGCAGGATCAAATGGAAGGTCCACTTTTAGTTCTTTGAGTAACCTCCATCTTCTTTCCAAAAAGGCTGTGCTCAGCTAGGCTCGGCACCCGTAGTACAGTGGTTACGGTGCAACCACATGCCCCGAGAATGGTGGGTTTGAACCTGGCCCAGGGCAGCTAAACAATGACAACTGCAACAAAAAATAGCTGGGAGTTGTGGCAGATGCCTGTAGTCCCAGCTACTTGGGAGACTGAGGCAAGAGAATCACTTGAGCCCAGGTGTTTGAGGTTGCTGTGAGCTGTGACACTACCAAGGGGGACATAGTGAGACTCTGTCTTTTAAAAAAAGGGGGGGGGGCTGTAGTAGTTTGCAGTCCCGCCAACAGTGCAGGAGTGTTCCCTTCTCTCTGCACCCATGCCAGCACCTGCTAATTTGGGACCTTATGATGTGGGCTCTTCTCAGGGGGATTAGGGGCTATCTCAAAGTGGTTTTAATTTGCATCTCTCTGATAAGTAGGGATGATGAGCATTTTTTCATGTGTTTCTTGGCCATTCCATCTGCCCTCATGAGAAAAGATTCTGTCATGTCACTTGCCCAGTTTTTAATAGGGTTATTTGCTCTTTTCTTGTTAATTTGCTTGAGTTCTTTGCAGAGTCTGGTTATTAGCCCTTTGTCAGATTCTTAGCATGCAAATATCTTATCCCATTCTGAAGGTTGTCTATTTGCTTTGTTGACTGTGTCCTTAGCTGTACAGAAACTTTTTAACTTGATCTACTCTCATTTATTTACTTTTGTTATTTCTGCAATTGCCAATGCAGTCTTCTTCATAAATTCTTTTCCTAGGCAATAAGAGTCAGGGTTTTTCCCATACTTTCTTCTAGGGTTTTTATAGTTTTGTGTCTTAGATTTAAATCTACTCTATTGTGAGTAAATTTTTGTAAGTAGTGAGTGGTGCAGGTAAGTTTCAGTCTTTTACTTGTGGCTAACCAGTTCTCCTAGCATCATTTATTAAATGGGAACTCTTTCCCCCAGTGTATGCTTTTGTTTGCTTTATCAAAAATCAGTTGGCAATATTAGGCTGATTTCATCTCTAGATTGTCTGTTGGGTCTAAATTTCAAACAGAGATATTGGACTGGATGACCAACATTAAAATTTCTCCCATCCTAAACATTGCATAAATCTGTTAAGTCTGTGACTGGAGCAATGATTTTTCTTAGAGGCCTATGTTGATGACTTTTTTTTTCCCTTTGTAATCTTATCTTCACTCCTCCTTTTCTTTCACAGTTTTCCTTTTGTTAACCTGAATGGAAATCGCTTTTATTCTCATACCTTCTCCCCAACCTAGGGTGACCAGATTTTAACATGGGTAAGGCAGGACAACATGGGCGGGGTGGGGCAGGGAGGGGACAGGGCAAGGCAGGGCCTGACAGCAATGCAAACTTTGATAAGCAGTTCTCGATAATCACTTCTCAACAATTATTTGTTATTATTACAGTTTAACATTATAAAATTAACAAAAATAATATAAAACTCATTCTGGTGAAATAGCCACATAGCAGCCGAAAACCATATATTCCCTTCTTGTTCTCCTGCCTGTTCGTACATTCTTTCCAAAAATTGGGAATTTTTTAAAATGGCGCAGGATCCAGGACAAATTGTTAAAAAGTGGGACTGTCCCGCTAAAAGCGGGACGTCTGGTCACCCTAGTTTAACCTGAGCCTCATGCCTCAGACCTGCTGTTCATCGGCTGCATGACTCTGGGCAAGTCTCTCCACTCTCTGAGGGACTCTGTCTGATGGTATGTGAGCAAGAACCACACTGGTAAAAGGTATGGATGGCTTGAAGGCCGCAAAGAAACAAAAAAGCAAAGAACACCAAACTTTTCTAGCAATCTTCCAAGGAAGAGCTGTGCCTTTCCCTTCTTCTTAGTGCCTGGAGGGCCTCCAGGAAAACACTATAAAAATTCATGGGGGAAAAGCCCACTGCTCCTCCACCATTGCGCATACCAACAAGTCCCAACTTTGGTTTTGCATATGCATTCTTTCCAAAAATCAGGACTTTTTAAAAAAGCCACGGGACGGGGGACAAGTTGTTGAAAAGTGGGACTGTCCCGCCAAAAGCAGAAGGTCTGGTCACCCTACCCCAACCCCAACCCCAACCCCAAACTGATTGATCCATCCAATTTACTGTCTTATCTATATATAATTTATAAAAAATGACTCATGATGATCCATGGCCTAAAATTAACTAAGAAATCTGTTTCTTTTCTTATATTATCCTACCAGACAGCTCCTCACTTTCTCCATTTGTAATGTGGGGCCATATACAGCTCCTGACTAGATGCCACTAGCTAACTTCTGTGCGGCAGAGAGTGTTTCTGGAGTAACTAAAGGGAACCAGGGCAGAGAAAAGGATGGTCAGCCAGAGATAAGAAATGGAGTCAAACACAAGCAGGAGTTCCCCCAGGCCCTTCTCCATTGTGCCTATAGGGGACACTGTTCACTGAATGCATTTTGTTCTACTGTGTCTCTCCTCAGAGTGCCTTATAAATAGAAATTGGGCTGGGGATAGGGCTTTGGGGTGGTAGTTCATTAATTAACCCACAATGTTTGAGCACCTATTTTAAGTAATTCCCTTTATTAAGAAGTGAGGAGGATCAAAGATGGGATACTAGGCCTAATGATCTGTTAATATAATATGATGTTTTTTGCTTAGTCCAATTTCAGCACAAAATAAATATAAAAATATTAGTGAGCTCCTGGCATTCTTTCTGCGGACTAAGTCTTTAGAATCTAGGTGTATTTTACACATAGAGCACATGCACAATTCAACCCTAACATAGCCACCCATTAACAGTGAGACAGATCCTCTGGGGTTGCAAGGGTTAAGCTAGCGAGGCTGTGGACCCGACAGGCAGCGCAGGAACTGAGTTACACAGTGGTTAATTCCTGCCCTGCGGAGCATGCCGGTAATAGTAGTCTACGCCCCACCTACCCGTAGGGTCCGATGGGATTTGTAGGCCCGGGGCCCCGCGGAGCATGCCGGGAACCGTAGTCCGCTGCCGCCCGCGGCTGGGTGTGCATGTCATGGCCGCCGGCACCGAGCTGCCGTACTTTTCCGCTTGGCCCCAGAAAGTTTCGGTCTTGCCTGGCCGTGGACCTACTAGCGCGTAAGTGCCGCAACAGACCGGCCAGACTCCGGGGCACCTGGGCCACTCTCTACCCCAAAGCCGAGAACTTCACCAGGGCACGAACTTGTCCACTGCTGCCCTTACTGTCCCCGCCCATCCTGGGGCTCCGGTAGACCCTCCCCAAACCCCCTCCCTTACCTAGCGAGCTTGGGAAAACACATCGGGCTAGTAGTGGAAGCTGGCCCTGAAACCCTGGCTACCTCTTTTGGTTGGCTGGAAAGACCCCAAACACCAGTGCCAAGACCCCGGCCGGCCGAGGGGCCGCAAAGGAGCCCAACATGTGGACTCCTCAGAACAAGCCGGGATCCTTTAGCCTAGGAGAGGACAGGCCCTTGAATTTCTGCTTTCCCTGTCATTAGGAAGTTCTGGCTCAGTTGAGTCTCCTTTGGGAGTCTTTGCTGATGCCCAGCCTAGGTCTTCTCTCTCTTCCCCAGAGGGGACTGTTTGTTCTCGGCCCATCCTCAGCCCATCCTCGGGTGCTGGGCTCGGTCACTACCCACTGCCCCTTGTTCCCATGTGCAGAGTCTTGAGGTAGCCCCTTGGTGATCTTTTCCGGAAACACCTGTTGGACGGCTTATGCATTGTCTCTGATGTGGCTGCACAGGACTGGGCTAAATAGACTCCATTCTGTTTAACCTAGGCAGGGGTGGGGGTGGGGGGAGGGGACAGAAGTTTATTTTTTTTATAAGAAAAGCATATGTGGTTGACACGTTACCCACATGGCTCACGGTTAACGCACAAGTGTTCTCTGAAGCCCCGTCTCTATTGGCTGTCCCCTCCAGAAAAAATATAGAGCACTTGTTGAAACTGCTTGTGTTGGCCAGAGCCTTCCTGCCCCTCTGCTTGTCTTACAACAGCAGTTTCCTTCCTTAACAGAGAAATGGGTCAGGGGTTTTGGGGGTGCAGAGGATCAGGGCTTAATCTGCTCACTGCCCTCCTGCCTCTGCGGGGGCTGTGGTCTCCTGCAGCAAGCTTAATTCCCCTGCCATCTGCCTAATACGCTGGAGGGTATTGGGGACTGAGGGGAGCCAGTAAGAGCTGATCCTGAACTCACTGTTCTGTGTGCACATGCACATAGTTACTGTAATCCTGGAAATCAGAGTTAATTGTCTCAGTGATGGATTCTAGCCTCCTTTGATTAAAAGGATCTGAAGAGGTTCTTGCTTTAGGAAATACCCTCATCTGTTTATGTTAAAAGTTGTCTATCTTTGTGTAGCACTGCATTTATTTTTTAAATTGTTTTCAGTATCTTATTAGGAAAATGGATATCTGGGATCACTGAAACAGTTGTATAGTGAGCATCCAGGTACTCAGTTCCTGATATTTTACCCTGATTATTTTTATAGTTGCTTTAGTGTTTGTAAACAGTCTCAGGCAAGGATTTTCTAAATCTAGCTGCTCTTTGGGATGACCTTTGCCCCTTGTGGCTGGGTTTAGAGCACCAGCATGGATTCAAGAGCCAAGTTTTTAGCCTGGTCCTTTTTAGGAAGGATGGTCCCAACTGGTGTTTGTGATGAGAGGAAGCACTCATAACAGTGACTTCAGGGCAGCCTGTGGCTTTGACCTATATTGGTCACCAAGTCTAAAAAGTAAGGTTCTTAAGAAACAGCAGTCTCCTTTCAGCCTCCAGGCCCTTTCCCTTTAGGGGAGACATTTGGTCAGTACGTAAGCTGTGTTTTCTGGTTTTATGATTCTAAACACACAACTTGGTTGTCTCAAGACCAGAGTGTCTTTTACCATGAGCCAGAGGAAGCGTGTTGTCTAGCCGTGGTCTTATAATGGAAACCACTGTAGGAATTCAAAGTGTAGAGCCACGTTCATTGCAGGCAGTTCCAGGCAGCAGGTGGGGGTGAGTAATTGGTGTCTGTGACCACAGAGGCAACCTGTGAGCAAAGATAAATAGATTGTGATCATGTCAACATCAGCTCATCTAGTGGCTGCTGTGTTCTGTTTTTGTTCAAAAGATAAATGGTGTTTTATTTGTGATCTCAGTGTCAGTTTTTAAAAGATAACAAATCTTGATTCGTATAAGAGCCTTTATTTGAACAATTAAATCAGTAGGGTGGGAATTGGAATGTTTCTGGGGTCTACCTATGGAGACATGATCTACCTTCTTGCTATTTTTTGATAAATAACTAAAATGACTAAAGTATTTGCACCATCACTATAATAAGAGTCTTGGCCTCAGAGCAAATGGGCCCCATGGGTTTGAGAAAATGAAGATGTCAGAAGCTGTGCTCAGCTGGGCAAGAGGAGTTTTTCTCCTCCCACATTGGAGCCTGATGGTTTTAGTGACAGCCAGTAGTCCTTTTAGTTTGCATGGCTCTCTGTGGCATCTAAAAGGCACCAGAACCTGTTTCTAGTAGGGCCAGATCCCATTTACAGGAATGAGGATGTGTGCATCAATGTGGTTCCAAGGACAGACTTAAGGAGAATTTGTGGTTTGGTTACAGTATTGTGGCCCTGTGGCTGTTTCTGGGGCCCACAAGCTGGTCTGGCCAACCACCTCAGGAGCCTGGTGGACTGCACCCTTGACCTATGGCAGGAAACTGAGGTAGGGGAGCCCTGAGCATGGCGGGGGGGGGGGGGACCAAAGAGAGCATTCCAAGAAAACCATTAGCATACAGGGGACTAGGCCATGAGGAGAATCCCCATACAAGGTCTAGGATAGGGTTGGACAGTGGAGCCAGAGCAGTGGTTTAAAGTAAAGCTAGAAGAAGTTTCCTGAAGCTGAACTTGTAGCCCTATATGCTTTTTTAGGGCATATGTAGATTTTGTCAGGATCAGGGAGGGGGGCACTTAGAAGCCTTAGCCAAAGTTCCCAGTGAGAATGTCTGCTCTTCCCCTTTCCCACCTCTTCCAAGGGCAACGGTTTTTAATCACTCCACACAAAGGAAGGTTATTCCCTACAGTATATCTGAAAAAAAGACACAGTTGGAAGAGGTCAAATGATTTCCCCAGGACAGATAGATTGTATGAAAATAGTTTAGCAAGCTAAATATATCTTGGGTCTCACCTAGCCATGGCATGATCCTCATTGCTTTAGTAGTTGCATAATAGGTAATGGAAAGTTTACATGATTAGTCTGATTCCAAAATCTGAATACGGTCCAAACTGGCAAAACTTGGCTACCACTGATAAAAGAGAAGAAAATATCTTTCCCAGCTTCAGAGCCATTCTGGGTCTTTCTTGCCCCCAGGTTGTGTGCAGTTCTTGTCCTGCAGGCCCAGCAGCACCTTCCCACCCCAGATCCTCACTTCCAGGAATGGAAAGAGAGTGGCCTTGGGAGATGTATTAGTCTGCTAGGACTTCCATGGCAAAATACTATAAACTCAGTGCCTCATGCAACACAATTGTATTGTCCCATGGGTCTGGAGGCGAGAAGTCTAAGATCAAGCCATTGGCAGGTTTGGCTTCTCCTGGGGCCTTTCTTCTTGGCTCACAAACAGCTGCCTTCTTGCCATGTGCTCACATGGCCTTTTCTCTGTGCTTACACATCCCTGATGTCTCTTTGGTGTGTCCAAATTTCCTCTTAGACACTCACCAGTCAAACTGGATGAGGGCTACTCTCACAGCTCATTTAATCACTTCTTTGCAGTCATAGTATAAGGTATAGGGCTTCACTATATGAGTTGATGGGCATAGTGTACCCCCTAGGTTGGTGTGTTGGTGGTTCTGGTCATCATTGTCCAGCCTGGGATGAAGGAGGCTTGTGGGTAGCCACGAGATGAGTTGGCTAGAGGAAGGTGTGCCAAGCATGAGCCAAACAGAGCACAGTCTTGGCAGAAAGAGCTTGTCATCCAAACCCCAGAGGCTTCCCCAGCCACTACAGGGCAGGCCAGGGAGGCCAGAACACAGGTAGGAGGAGGAAAGGACGAGAGACAAGACGATGGGCCTGTCTGTACCAAAGTCAGATAGCCCAACAATGAAGGGCCTCCCAAGCTGGGTTAAGAGGTTTTTATACAGGTCTGACAGCAATGAGCTCTCAGGACACCTGGGGTCTGTTTCTAAAGAGAAGCTAGGTAGGGAAGGATGGAGTAGACACACTTAGTCCATCGCTGAATTATCTTTGAATTATATTATTTCATTCACTCTTGGAATAAAATAGTTTGTACTGTTTCCACAGTAATGTCAATATAAAGTTCACAACTACAGTTTGATTTCAAAATGCAGTTTTTTGGTCAACATAAGTATGCTAAACAAAGGAAAATTGAAAAATCAGAGAAGTAGACTTTAAAAAAAATTACCTATCTTCCCACCATTTTAAGTTTATTATTATTTGTATTTTAGTACATTTCTATTCTTCAAGGTTTAGTTTGGCATATGGAACAAAGATCTATACATTTTGTTTTGTCTAATTCATTCATTCATTCAGCAAGTAAGTGTTCTCCATGTGTCGGATCTATGCTAGGTGCTGGCAAAATAATGAACAGCAGTGGAGTTTACAGACAAATGGGAGGAACAGAGATTAAACAAAAAATTACTATGGTAGTGAATGTAGTGGATGGCTCCTAAAGCCCTAGAAAAATAACATGAGACTCTGCAGTGGGGGCTTCACATCATGAGCAGAACACAGTTTGGTGTGTTCTGTGTTCACTTGTTTTTATCAAAACACATAGTGGGCTTCAGGTGATCTTTCTTGTTAGGAAACTTAACTTACTGGGATGTATGCCATCTACTTCTCCCACTGAGCATGAGTTCCTGAAAGGCCAGGGTTCCACCCACCACCGTTTTTTTTTTTTTTTCCAGTTTTTGGCCAGGGCTGGGTTTGAACCTGCCACCTTTGGCATATGGGGCCGGTGCCCTACACCTTTGAGCCACAGGCGCCACCCACCACCCACCACCTTTTTTCACAGCTGTGGCCCGAGCTCCTGGATTAGGTCTGCCTGTTCATAGTAGTGCCAGAAAATACCTCTTACCTGGCTGGCAGTTTGTTAGCACATACGGGTTACATGTTGCTTCCATAAGGCCATGTTTTG